AGCCCACTAAAATGGCGACAATTGCGCAGATCGCAATCCGAACCGCAAATATCGCCTGGATCCGCGCTGCCCTCACCTCCGCCGTGACTCCCAGAACCCGTAAGATGGACGACCGTTACGCAATTCGCAGCCCCTGACGGAGCCGCGATGTCTCGCCTGGATCCGCGCTGCTCTCACCCCCGCCGTGCCTCCAAGGAACCCACGAAACTGGCGACAGTTGGGCAGTTCACAGCGATCGACGGAGCCGCGAGGCCTCGCCTGGAATTAGGTCGGCCATGTCCTCCTACAGGCGGATGTTCGACAAACATTCAAACCACATTTCAAAAATAAGCAAACGTAATCAAAGATAATCCAAATATCGTCCCCAGACTATTTCTAAGCTGTGTTTGAATAATTATCCTGTAGAGGGACGTGCCCGACTTAAGCCTGGAACTGCGCTGCCCTCACATCCGCCGTGCCTCCCAGGAGCCCACGAAACGTGACAACACCTGCGCAGTCCGCGACACCCGACGGAGCCGCGAGGTCCCGCCCCGACCCTCGCGGGTCTCGCCTGGATCCTCCTCCTCCTCCTCCTCCTCCTCGTCCTCCTCCTCCTCCTCCTCCTCCTCGTCCTCCTCCTCCTCCTCCTCCTCCTCGTCCTCCTCGTCCTCCTCCTCCTCCTCCTCCTCCTCCTCGCCTGGATCCTCGCTGTCCTCGCCTGCGCCGCGCCTCCCGGGGAGCACACGAGAGCGGCAGCAGCGGCACAGGTCCCACGGCCCCCCGAGAGGGAGCGCACAGGGCAGCGGGAGGAGGCGGGCGCAGGCGGAGGGCAGGAGGGCAGGAGGAGGCAGCAGACGGGAGGAGGCAGGAGGAGGGAGGAGGAGGAGGCAGGAGGAGGAGGAGGAGGCAGGAGGAGGAGGAGGAGGAGGAGGAGGGAGGAGAAGGAAGGGGAGGGGGAGAAGAAGGAGGAGGGGAGGAGGAGGCAGCAGACGGGAGGAGGCGGGCGGAAAGGGGGCAGGAGCGCGGGCCTTGCCCTGCTCAGAACGCCCACCCCAGGAGGGTTGGGGGACGACCCAAACGCCGAGCAGGTCGGAGGGAGGGGAGGAAGGGGTCCGGTGGAAAAGGGGGGCCCTGGGCCCTGGGGTTGCGCTCGGGATCGCCTTCCATCCCGAGTCCTTCGTTGGCGGTCCCAGGGCCAGGGACGGCCCCAGGGGGCCAGAAAACGGCGACGAGCTCACAGGATCCCCTTCGTGCCGTCGCTCGGACGTCCATTTCCCGTGCATGTTTCGGTGTCGTGCGTGTTTTTTGTTGCTCGATGGTCCAGGATGGTCCTCGATGGTCCTCGCGGAAATAAAAATGCACACGTCCGAGCGATGCAAGGCCTTTGGAACCGCAGTCGTTCGAGCGAATGTGTGTTGACCCTCTCGACAGGACGTCGGATCGTCTGAGAGTGGCAGCATGCGCAGACGACGTCACGCCTGAAAACGCGTTTCGGAAAAAACGTTTTCCAGGACCCCATCTCCATATCGTGAGCATTTTCTCATTCGGCGTTTCGACATTGGGCGGAAAGGGGGGGGTCTAGCTCCAGACCTGTGCTTAGTGCGACTGTTTGCAACAGTGTGTCCATTATGGGGGAGGCTGCACATGCTTGAAAACAGGCGCAGACAACAGCCAAGATCCACTCCACAGCGGGGGGGGGCGTGCGAGGGCCCGCGCCGACGGGCAGAACAATGAATAAAACAACGATCACAACCTCGACCCTCCAAACCCGATCACCCGATCAAACACTGGCCATCGCTCAGACGTCCATTCCCTGTGCGTTTTTGTTGCTCCGGTGTCGTGCGCGGTTTTTCGCCAAATGATCACAAGGATGCTCCTCGATGGTCCTCGCCGAAAGAACCATGCACGCGCCCGAGCGATGCCAAGATACAAGGCCGATGTGGCATCACAGCAGCAATTCGGCCCCTGACTTTCCTCCTGGGCTCGGTTTAGTGAAGTGATGAATTTCGGGGTCCTTACGTGGGGAAAAACATCACTTCACTAATCTGGGCCCCTGGGGCCTCAGTGGGCCCTGAGGCCCAAAACTAGTGAAGTGATGGTTTTCGGGCCTCGGACAAGAGCACTATGGCGGCCGCCCACCGCTGGGACGCGCCGATGGGGCACCCCGGCAGGAGGGAGCAGCCGCGGTCCTCGGGTATCTGGCGCCCGGACTCGTGCGCCTCCGCGCCCCGCTGCCCCCTCCGTGCTCCCGCTGCCCCTGCCAGAATACGGCCGGGGGCTTGACCTAAGGAACCCAAAATAAGGAACGAGGCCCCTGTTTTCCATGAGTTCAACTTCGATCTCCGATCGAAAACACAAGGAAAACCTGAGGCAAGCTGCGAAACACTTAAGGAACGCGGAGCCCCTCCCCAACGAAAAGGGTTCCTTCTTCAGGGCCCCGACTGTAGCCCGAGGTCGGGCGTGTCCTCCTACAGGGGGATGTTGGACGAAACATAAAAAAGCTGTCAAACAATGCTCCAACAGATGGTCAGACAATAGTCAAACACATCGTCCCCAGACCATGTTTTGACTATCTGTGGATGTTCCTCCTGTAGAGGGACGTGCCCGATTTAAAGATCGCCCAGAATCGAATCGATACGTCGGATCGGCGATCGAAATGAGTCGGATCGGCAGAAACCGGCAGCCCAGTCGGGCGAATTGGCGGACATCGGCAGGTTAGTAAATTGAGAGATCCGAGTCCAAATCGGAATCCCAAGTGGCATCGAATCGGAATCGGAGGCCATCGAAGTCGAATCGAATCGAATCGAAAGCATCGAAACGAGCCCTGTCCTTCCGCTGGCTGCTCCCCCGACCGGCGATCCGCAGAAGGTGTCCATGCCGCGACTCGCCAGGCGCCTCCCCGGGTGCGCTCCGACAAGGATTTCGAGGCGATCCCGGCGGTGGTGACGAGCCCCCTCCCGCGAAGGCCCCCCGACAAGGGCAGGGGCCCCCCCGACACGAGACAGACGTGTTTGCGGCCAAACGTGGGCGACGGCCCCCTCCCGCGACGGACCCTTCCACGACGGCCCCTTCCGCGACGAGCCCTCCTGCGACGGCCCCTCCCACGACGAGCCCCCGTCCGCGACGGCCCCTCCCGCGACGAGCCCCCGTCCGCGACGGCCCCCCTCTCTCAGGATCCACCGAAAGGGGGGTGACCCTGAGGGGGGGCATGAGTTCGATCCGTTGGCGCACCGAAGTGCCGCAAAAAGACGCCCTCCGCATGCCCCACCTGTCCGCAACAACCAGGAGCTGGCTGCGGCTGGGGGGGACGTCCGTTTTGGGCGGTTCGGTGCAACACCCGGTCGAACTCACACACCCCGCCCAAGGCACACACACACACACACACCCTTTGCGAAATCTCGAGTCGCCTCCTCCGCGACGGCCCCCCCGTCGTCGTCGTCGTCGCCGTCGTCGTCGTCGCCGTCGTCGTCGTCGCCGTCGTCGTCGCCGTCGTCGTCGTCGCCGTCGTCGCCGTCGTCGCCGTCGTCGCCGTCGTCGTCGTCGTCGCCGTCGTTGTCGTCGTAGTCGCCGTCGCCGTCGCCATCGCCGTCGTCGCCGTTGTCGTCGTCGCCGTCGTCGTCGGCAGTCGTCCCATTTAGTAAACGCACTCACGGAAGGGATCGAACAGGGCCAGGCTGTATTAACAAACGACCAGGGCGGCATCCGAGGAGGTCCGTAGATAGAGGCCTCCCAGATGAGGTCCGAGTGCTCCGACCCCATCCACTCCGACCCCATCTATGAGGCCTAAGAAAACAACAACAACAACAACAAAAACATAATAAGCAACCCGACGAGCGAAGCCATTTAGTAAACGCACCCTGGTTAGGGATCGAACAGGGTGGGGCTGTGTCAGTAAACATCTAGGGCCGTTTAGTAAATGCCAAGTCGTGGGGGCGGGGTGGTTTTTCCTCCCTTGAATAATACTTTGGCGGCGAGCCCAGGGGGGGGGAAGTGAGAGGGGAGGGGCCTTCTCAGGAGGCTCACAAGTTCCCCAACCTGCTGAGGAGTTTTCTGAGACTTTCCCGAAGGCTCGGAAAACCCCTCGGGAAGGCCCGAAGGCTTCTGAGAAGTCCCGCCGCCTTCTGAGAAGGCCTTCTCCTTCTCACTCCCCCCCTTCGCTCGCCGCCGAATGCTGGCCCGAATCAATCGAAACCCTGGTCAGTCGGGCTTTCGTTTCTTTGACAGCGATAATGTACACGACACATGCTCCGAGCGCGGCTGTCCTGGGAGCCGAAATTCTGGCCAGAGACGCGGGATTCGGGCGAAGACCACTACGGGCCTCGCCACGATTGCGTTGCCTGGTCAGTCGGGCGTGGCGGAATCCTCAATCGGCGATCGAAATCAATCGGAATCGGCAGCCGAGTCGGGAAATGTCGAATCAGCGGGAGTCGGCAGGCTAGTATGCCTCCAGCGAGAAGTCCGAACCCAAATCGGAATCCGAAGTCGAATGGAATCGGAACAGACAGCAATCGAAGTCGAATCGAATCGAGTCGGAGGAATCGAAACGAGCCCTGACTCCTGCAAGATCCTGCAGGATTATGCAAGATCCTACACGCCAGCCCAGGTCGCTGCACCCCTCAGCCCTGGGATTTCCGAGGGGAAGACGCCCTACTCCTTCTGTAAGGTCTTTGGATGCCGCAGACACGGCGATTCCGCACGACAGCCTGAGGACACCGTTTTAATAGAGAACTGGCCAAGACACCTCGCAGATACCCGTGGAATCTCGAAATCCTTCGGGTTGATGATGCGGATTGCTGGTCGGATCCTCGTGACTGGGCGTCGCTTATTGGGAGGGCGATGGATGGGGGGGGAAGAGAGGTGCAGGCCCCCTTTGGAGTCTAAAAGGGCCCCTTCAGGGCCCCTTTTCTGCAGCCCTCTCTGCACCCCCATGTACCACCCCCCCATCACGCGATGCCCAACGTGACACATCTTAAGCGCTGCTCTGGACATCGCCAGGAAATCGCTCGTATTCCAGAAGACACCTCCCGGCTACACGCAAGAATGGCCCGGGGTAGAAGTGACCTCCGGTGCGCGGCTTTTGGAACACCGCGGGGGGGCACACACAAGCGCGCAAGACGTCACTGCCGCCTCGCGTTCGGCGATCAGGGGCCCCCAGTGGGCCTGCAACAAAGGCCACTCCGGCGAAGGGTCATTATTACGTGTAGTCGATCCTCGGGAGCGTCCAAGGGCCAAGAGGGGGGCGCGCAAATCATGGCCTGCGGCACGTGCGCGGCCTAGGGGTGGTCCAGTGACGTGTTGAAACAAGAAGAGGCGCCGTGAAATCCGGGGAGATCAGAGTGAGGGGGCCGAAAGGTCATTCATTGTCCCTGGGTGCGTAGCTGAAGTGAAGATTCGTGGTGAGGATTCTGCTTGGTGCATTGTTGTTGTTGTCGTCGCTCCGTCCCGCGACCCACCCCGCGACCCACCCCGTCCCCCAAACCGCGACCCACCCTGCGACCCACCCCGCGACCCACCCCGTACCCCAGATCGCGACCCACCCTGCGACCCACCCCGCGACCCACCCGCGACCCACCCCGCGACCCATCCCGCGACCCATTCCGCGACCCACCCGCGACCCACCCCGCGACCCATTCGCGACCCACCCCGCGACCCGTTCGCAACCCACCCGCGACCCATTCGCGGCCCCGCCCGCCGGGAGAGGGGACCGGGGGCGCCGGGCCCGTCTTCGCGGGGGGGAGGCGCCGAGGGAGCCTTCTGCCCGGGGGGAGCCCCGCGCGCGGAGCAGCACTCGGCAGTGAAATCTCCAGGGCCGCTCGGCGGCCAAGCAGCTCTGTTCGTCGATGGCGAGGCATGGGCAGTCCGCTGCAGCGTGTGGCTATTCTCGGCGGCGACGATAGGGGCGAATGGCCCAGGGGCGGACACTGCCCGAATTCGCCCGGAAGCCTTTTCGAAGACATGGATCATCGGCGCACCTGGATACAGGTATTGCTCTCCCCTGGGCTACTCGCCCCCATCGTCGCCTCTGATATTCGGGGCAACCGAAAGGCGAAGTGTCCGGCGTGCGAGAGCACGAGGGAGGGAGAAGACGAGAAGACGAGGGCGGCCGCGCGGGGGGAGGGGGACGGGAAGGCGCTCAGACGCAAAGAGTTCCGCAGCTCGGAGGCTAAACAGGAGATTGTCTCGTCTGCTGGCGGCGTGCACTCTGGGGGTAGGGGGGAGGGTGGAAGGCATCTTGGAAGGAGGCTGCTTCTAGGAAGGCGCAGGCCTTACATCTACAGACAAGGCCTGCGCCTTCCAAGACGCAGGGGTGCTTCGAAGAAGCCTTGCCCCCCCACCCCCCCTTCCTCCCTCTGCGCTGAAGTCGGGCCTGTCCTCCTACAGGCCGATTTTGGACGAAAAATTCGAAATACTCAAAGAATTCACCGAAAATGCGCAACAATGGTCAACAAAATCGTCCCCTGACTATTTTTTGACCATTTGTGAATCTTCCCCCTGTAGAGGGGCAGGCCCGACTTAACCCTGCGCGTGGCCGAGTCTGTGCTGTGCGCCAGGCGCAGGAGGCGCAGCTTCACCTCGCTGGCCCCTTGGCTCGTCCAGCGCTCCGCGGAACGCGCCGACCAAGTGCCGACCGCGCCTGAATACAGTATTCGGCCTGACCTAAAGAACGATAAATAAGGAACGAAACCCCTGTTCTTCCAAGTAAGTCTACGACGTCCGAAGGAACACCAAGGGGGCGTCGGCGATGCATCCGCGACGTCGGCGTGGAAAAAGTTGGGCCCCACATCGAGACGCATCGCCGATGCATCGCCAATGCATCGGCGATGCGGCGCGATCCTCCGACCCCATCCACTCCGACCCCATCCAGGAGGCCTAGACTCAAGATTGTCGGATGAGACGCCCGCTCCGGGACAGAGAGGGAGAGATGAACAGGACGTGGGGGAGGAGGCTGGCTTGGGTCGTGGGCCTCGCCCGCCTCAGGACGACGCAGAGCGAGACGGCTGCACCGATCCTCGCCAGGCTGGTCCTGAATTCAAAAACCCAGTCCTTGAATTAACAAAAAGACTTGGCTTCTTGAATCGGTGCATACGCCAAGGCTGAACCTAAACGGTGCCTTTCGTTTTCGTTTTGTTTTCGTTGTCCCTCGCTTTTGTCTCGAATCCGCCTTTACTGCAGAACGAAGTCGAAACGAAAACGGCCCACGAAATCACAAGAAAAACACCGTGTGGGTCCAGCCCTGGGCACGCGCGGTAACGGCCCAATCGGGAGGCGAGGGCTCCACTCGGAAGCCCCGGATCAGCCTGGCCAGGCCTCCGAGGTCCCAGGAGGTCTCCCGAGATCCCCCCTCCCAGGAGGCCTCCGCGGAGGTCTCGGGACGCGACACGGGGGCCGAGAGTATCCAAAAGCCTCGAGGGCCATGGGAAAGGAAGACGACCCTGGACCTCCGGCATCGTGGTTTTCTGTCCATACGCGGGCACTGGAGGTGTCGATCCCTGGCTGGGGACCCACTTCCATCTTGAAACATGTGTGCTGTAGCCCTGGAGCCCAAGAAGGATCTCTAGATGCCGAAGGCACAGGAACAACTTTGCCATCATCTAGTTGTTCGACGATCACTGCCAGGCCCCCCCCCTCGGCTCTGGCCACTGTCAGCACCAGATATACGTCCGAGTTCGGGAGCAGGTCCCCCGACGCGCAGTTCGCCTCTGGCCGCTTGCCCGGCATGCAGCGCCGGCGGAGGATCCAATCGGGCCACAGGGTCCGCGCGCGCAGCAGGCCCGCGAAGGTGGGGAAGCGCGACGAGGAGGAGATGGGAGGAGGCAGGCGAGGAGGAGATCGGAGGAGATAGGAGCTCAAGTTTGTCCGAAACCACATAACGCGCACTGTGTGGCCGGGTGGGTGGGTGGACCCGCTGGCACGCAACGTAACGCGCTGCGCGCACTACGAACAGCAGACCTGTGCGCGAGACTTCAGGCGCTGCTGCAACGGGGGTGGGTGAAGCGGAGGGCGGCATGTTCTCTACTGAGTAGGTGGGTGAGTTGGAGGCCACAGAACGCGCGTGATGTGTTCCTGTGAATAAACTTCAGCTCTAGGATGGCAATGCATATGAGAGACCTGCACTCTGTTTTCATTCAGCAATGTGTCTAATCAACTCTGCCACCGTCATCACGAGCTGGCCCACGACAGAATGAGAATGCTAAAGAGTATATACTCGGCATTATGCAATAGCTGATTCCCTTGGAACGTGGAGTCGGAACGGCACCGCGCAAGAAGAGGGAGAGGGGGGAGGGAAGCTTGAGCGAATATATAGTGGAATACAGGGGAGCATGGTGAAGACGCCGTTGGGTCCCTCAATCCCGTGCCCGTTTGCAAGCACACTCCGCACTAACATGAGAGACCTGCGCTCTGTTTTCATTCAGCAATGTGTCTAATCAACTCTGCCACCGTCATCACGAGCTGGCCCACGACAGAATGAGAATGCTAAAGAGTATATACTCGGCATTATGCAATAGCTGATTCCCAAAACGTCCCGAAAGGTAGTGAGCTTATGAGTTGATTGAGTATTGGTAAGCACGTTGACATACAGCCGTACTGCACAGTATTTTGGCCAGGAGCTGGGAAAAACGGGGTGGGTAAGTCTGGGCCTGGGATGTCATACGTTTGCCCTCCAGCTCCACGTGCGGTTTTCCAGTGAAACAGCAAGTCCCCCGACCGTGGCACATATACTTATCGCACAAGCTGACATCAAAGGGGTCGCAATTGCCGAACATGAGTTGGGTACGCTTTCGCCACGGGGTTCCAAAGGCACACTGGTCGATAATCTTAACATGCACCTTGGGATCGTTCGCGAACTGGATGAAGCCTGGGACCCACCAAAGTAAACTCGTCGCTGGGTTCTCGACGGCCCACGGGATGCCCAGGGCGTGGATGCACCGAATGAGCTTGAGGACCCTGCGGGCCTGGAGATTTCCGGCCCGAAGGGCTGCCAGATCATTGGCCGAGAACTGGCTGGTTTCGTGACACCCCAGGGCTCAGTACGCGAACGGATCACGTTGGTTCTGTGACGAGCGATGCCCCAAGAGCGGCACTCGATAGCGATCATGGCTGCAACCAACTTACCATTTTTGGCCTCCGAGCACAAAAGCTGGATGTTCTTCAGAAGTGTCAGATCCAAAGAGTCTGAAATAGATTTGTCCCACAGCCGAGCCCGAATACCGCATCTGCCTGCTGCTCGGCCCACACCGCCTGTGCCGCCAAAAAGATCGGCTAGGTACGGCGTCGCTTCTTTGGGGCCGAGCTCGGGATGACGGGCGGTGCGATGGCCGAGGGGTCGATCTGGCCGCACAAAAGGGGCCCGAGCTGGAGCTCGCACCTGTGCACGTGAGACGCCAACGAGGCGCTCAGCTTGTCGACGCTCTCGACAATCTTGGCCTTGCTGTCGTACCTCAGCACCGACTCGCCCGCCTTCCACCGTCCCCTGCTCTTGATCTCGGCCCGGGTGCGATACCTCATGGCGGCGTCGATGGAGGCGCCTGAGTGCCTTGCCTGATAAGGCACGGCCGTCAGCCCCAGCTTCTTGCAGGCGATCTTGAACTGGCGCGTGTAGCTGCTGTACTTGAAGTTGAAGACCTTGGCCTTGGGGTCGCCTGCTCGCAGCGCAGCAACCACCGTCGTCAGGTAGGGCACCCACCTGCAGCTCAGGTCGATGCTCTCGTCCGTCGCGTACGTCTTGGACGCCGCTCCCCGCCCCTGCCGGAAGGCGAAGCAGATCCACGAGGCAGAGAGCCCATGCGCCGGGGCGAGGAGGTCCTCCTTCAGCAGCTTCAGGGGCTCCGAGGGCCGCATGTAGGTCACCAGCATGAACAGCGTGTACACCCCCATGTTCCAGAAGTTCGCGCGGCACAGCTCCCAGATGATGGCTGCCCAGATGCTGAAGGCCAGGGGGCGGCGCGATCGTGGCGGGCAGCGGCGTCTCCAGCCTTTCAGAGCCCGGTAGCACCGGGAAAGATGAAGGCCTCCATGCCGCCCGAACTCGGGCAGGAAGTGCTCCAGCCCGGCCACGAGCTTCTCGCCCTTGCTGAGGTTCTCGCCTTGGTCGAAAAGCTCTTGCAGCTGCCGCACCACCGACGCGCCCACCTCGGCAGCCACGCCGAGAGGCTCGCCCAGCTCGCGGGCTCGAGCCCGCCAGGCGTTCACCGCGTCGTAGTAGTCTGTCTCCGTCGTCCACTGAACCGCGCTCGACTCCAGCGGCAGAAGACCCAGCCCCTGCAGCCGCTTCGCCTCCACCGGCTGGCGCGCTCGCCCGACCCGCGGGGCCGCCAAGACTCGCACTCGGCGAGCCGGCCGCACTTGAACCTTCACGGTGTCGGAGGTCGCGTCGCTCTCGTCGTCCTTGTCTGTCACCTCTCCGTCGCTCAACTCGTCGAGCGTCCGTTGCTCCTTCTCCTTCGGGGCCTGCTCCAGCTTCGCCACCAGCGCGTCCCCGGACGCCAGACAGCGGGCCCGGGTCGCCCTGCCAGTCGCGGGCGCCGGCGTGAACGTCACCAGGTTCCTCGAGACCACGGGCGCCGCGGGGGTCGTCGTCGACCCGCGGGGCAGGCGGCCTGATTGCGCCTTCGCCCGCGGCACGGCGCGGGCAGGCCCCAACCTGGGGCCCCTCTCCATCACATCTGAGTGGTTCAGGAACAGTGCGGGAATAGCCAACAGAGTCAAGGTCAGCACGTGAGCCAACATGTTCTACCGAAAACCGACGGGACGGCTCATCCGCAGTATTCCACTCGGAAGGTATCCAGCGAAAACAGACTCGCAGTCCGAGGGCCAAGCACCACGACCCCATGCGTCTCATACACATCAGGGTCCTGAAGTCCGTGGTGCGCCCCCGAGCGAAGGCTAGACACACCCCCATGTTATCAACCAAGAAGAGCACCCTCGCGATCCTGACTTGGCACTCGCTCACCAGCGCCTGAAATCCCAGGACCAGGGCCCTAGCCTCCAAGGTGAAAATGCCCTCGTCAAAGTACTTCCAGGGGCCCGCCAGAAGGGTACTCCAGTGGGCTTGCGAGAGCAGCTTGTGGGGGACCTCCGGGAAGCTAGAGTCCACATCATACGGCCTGTCGAACTCCCCCTCGTCCGCCTCAGATCCAAGCTCCTCAAGACTCCCGAAAAACCTCGACCGGGCAGAAACTCCAGGAAGCTTCCGAAAGCGGCCCCTCTCCAGGATCCCCCCCACCTCCGAGACGTCCTGAGGGTCCCACTCTGAGACAGTGGCCCCGAACCCCCCCTCCGAAGCGTCCGTGGCCACGACACCAGGGGACCAGGGCAGCGTCCACGAGGCATCCATCAGGAACAGGAGGGAGGCAGCGGTCAGCATCTCCTGCCTAGCGGTGTCCCACAGCGGCATAGGGGTAGCGTAGTACTTATTTATGAAGGCATAGATACTCCTGAAGACACTCATCATGCTACGATTGATCAGCGCGCAGAAGGCGAGGTGGCCCAGCAGCGCTTCCCAGACACGTCCAGACAGCTTCCGACACGACAAGGCATACAGAACACCCTGGCGCACCTTCCACAGTCGAGCGGGCGCAAGAGAAACTCTAAGGCCCTCGAGGTCTATGTGGGCCCCCAGGGCCTTCGACGAAGTGGCACTCACCTCGTGCTCGTGGGTCACGAGCCCAACGCTCTCGAAACGAGCCGCCGCGTCGGACAGGATGGACGAGGTATGAGAGGGATCACAAGAGAGAACACCCAGATTGTCAACGTAGATGTAGTGACATATCCCGGAGCCCTCCAAGACGAGCCCCCCCTTCTCGTCCTCGCCTTTTCTCAGCAAACCTGAAGACCCCAGGCCGACCACGATCGCGAAGGAGGACAGAATCACGAAGACCAGGAACATTAGCCATACGATGCTCACCCGCTTGCTGGCAGAAGTAGAGTGACCAAGAGAAACCCATAGGAAGAGAAGCCCAACATATGTCGACCTGGTCATCAACACCCAAGACGCTCCCGCCAACATTGGTTCCCACGACCTTCAGTTCCCCTGCTGTGGCGGCACCCAAACCGAAGTAACTCGCCAGGCCCAAGGGAAGACGAAACCGATGGAAAGCGTCCTTAACATCCGCCAGCCCCAGACACATCTGGGCGCTACGAAGTTGATCAGGAGTAGGACTAGAGCAACCAGGCGGAAGAGAAACCTCGATCCTCGCGAGGCTCTCTGACGAACAGAGGTGGGCTCCAGGGGGATCAGCAAAACGCCTATTCGCACGACGAGCATCAATGATGAGCCGACTCTTACTTTTACCGGCCTTCTTCACAAAGAACATACCGACGTGCTCCTGCGCCGAACCAGCTGGCAAAAGCGCGACCAGTCCAATCCGCAGAAGCGCCCGCATCAGCCGCAGAAACTTGCGGCGGCTGCGAGAAAGCACAGGGTCCCAATAGGGAGTTATAGAGGGCAGCGACTCCTGTCGCTCCAAAAAGTCCGTCGAGGTGCGCAGCATGCGCTCGTAGTTCTGCTCCAAGAATTGGCTCGCCTCTGGGCCCACAACCTCCTGCACCGAAGGGGCGCCGACGAGGCTGTCAGGCAGGCTCACAGAGGAGACATTGGAGAAACTGGCAAGGTTGTGTCCACCGGGCTCTGCATCGTACACAGCCCGGCCGTGCAGCAGCTCGAGAGAAGCCGCTCGCCGGCTAGGGATCGCGACGCCTGAGGTCAAAAGGGAAGAAATCCGGTCTCTGACGCGCGCATGCGCACTAGCCTGCTCCGAGGTACGCGGCGGCCCGTACTCGGGGCGATGCCGGTCCCCAGCCATCCAATTCAAAGCGTTCACAGTTGCGTTGACATCAGCATTCAGTCTCCGCAAATGGCCTCGCAGGCCAGAAGCCTGTCGGCCACGTCCGCCGGGCACGGCAGGTGCCGGGGAGAGGGGAATTGGAAAGAGCGGCAGCATGGCAACGCGCCCCACACGGCTGTCACCTGCCACCGAGTCTGGGCCTCCAGCGTCGACTCGACCACGGTCGGCGCCGGCCCCGAGCATCGCCCCTGCCCCGGCAACTTCACCTTCTCCGCCTCCGCGCCGGCTCCCTGTTTGGGCTGACCACGTCCTCCGCCCTTCGGGTCGCCCTTGGGCCCCCCGCCGCGGCCGCCTCCGCCTCCGCCTGCGCCAGGAAGGACAGGTTGACTGCCCTCAGCGCCGGCGCCCGGATGCAGCCCGCGCGCCTTCACGCGCATGTTCTCGATCTCCACCTCCTCCTTCGCGCGGCGGTGGGCATGCGAGCGCAGCTCCGGCGGCACCACCGAGGCCGAGTTGGCCAGAGGCATGAAGCGCTTCACGCCCCCCCAGTTCGCGCGGCCAGGAGTGCCAGTGGAGTACGCCTCGATGATCTGGCACACCCTCCTCGACACGGCCTCGATGCTCGCCAACGATGGCCCGTTGACCTGGTCGTAGCAGCCGGTCAGGTACAGGATGTCCAGCAGGAGCTTCATCTCGATGCCCGTGCGCTCCTGAGGGCTGACGCCCGCGCCCCGGCACCATATGGGATAGAACACGCGAGGATCTCCCCCTTGGCGCTGGATGTTCTTGAACAACGCGAGCGTGGTCGCCGGCCCCTCGTGGTGCTTCTCCCAGTCGCTGAAGTGGCTGAACGAGATCTCGGCGCAGACCGATCGCCAGTCCTTGTGCCGCTCCCCGTGCTCGTCGTAGCTCACCGACAAGGTCCTCGCGTCCTCGCCCGCAGGAGGGGTCTTGGTGCCGCCGTCCAGGGCCTCGCTCAGGCGGCCCTCCAGACCCTTGTCCGCCTTCACGGCGGCGCCCTCATCGTCCAGGATCTTGCGCACCGTCATGTGCACCGTGTCCAAGAAGGTGGCGACGTCGGCGATCGGCACCCGTTTCACTGGCACCGGCCGCCGACTCGCGTCCAACGCCATGGCGTAGTCACCTGCCATCTCGGCGTCTGGAGCAGGATGGCGCTCCCGACCGAAATCAGGGTGGAGCGGGTCGACGATGAGCCAGGTGACGTCCGGCGGCGGGCCAGCGGCCGCGGCCAGCGGCAGAGCCGCGGCGCCCGGCGCGACAGCAGGCCTCGCCTCACCGTCGTCCCCAGCCAAGGGCACCAGCTGCGCCCCGTCCGAGTCCATCAGCGCCTGATACTCGACCTCACTCCCGTCCCACAGGGCAATGGCCTCAGGCGACGGCCGCCGACGACGAGTGATGCCATAGGACTCGCCCTCAGCCAGCTTGATCTGCTCCACCAGGTCCGCGGCGTCGAACGCGGTGCGAAACCGGTAGAAGTGCCCCTTCATCGGCTCCAGCAGCTCGGCATCAGGGACGAGTTGCACCGCCTGCACCGCGCCTGAGGTACCCCGGCGGCACCTGATATTCTCAGAGTAGCGATGCCCATCGGGAGCGGTGATGATCCACACCCCTGGCCGCACCTCCGCCAGCGCGACCCGCTCGTGCCAGTAAGTGTCGTCCTCATACCCAAGGGCAAACCGCTTGCCCGGCTTCATCTCACGCATAAACTCCTCCTCCAGCACGACGAGGCCGCTGGAGGAGAACAGCTGGTACTTCCTGTTCGACAGCATGACGCCGACGGCACCTATCGGTCAGGCGACCGAGCAGATCCCTGCCCGCCCCACCGATGAGCACCCAGAGCAACGGCCAGGCGTCCCAAGCGGCCTCCAGCGCCGCCTGCACCAAGGCGAGCTGCTCCTCCAGGCGAAGCGCCGCCGAGCGGATCTCCGCCAGCTCCTCGGGCACCTCGCCCAGGCCGAGAGCCGCAGGGCCACCCGGCGGCCCCGGGTCGGGCGCGCCGGCCACCGACACACAGTCGGGGCAGACCAGCGCCGGGCAGAATGGCACCGGGCACACCGGCTGCGGGCAAGCAGGCGCGGGCGTCGAGCTCCAGAGCCCTAACGCCAGCAGCCCATGGACCGCGGCCGCCGCCGCGGCTGCCAGGGGCCCACGCGGGAGGCCCATGCGAGCGAACCTGTGAAAGCTTGAGCGAATATATAGTGGAATACAGGGGAGCATGGTGAAGACGCCGTTGGGTCCCTCAATCCCGTGCCCGTTTGCAAGCACACTCCGCACTAACATTGTAAAGACGGATTCTAGAAAAGCGGACAAGCCCCACGAGAGACAATCGTGCCACCCCAGGACGAGGAGTCGAAGCCAACGCCTGACACAGCAGGCGCAAGACGCAGTTTCTACCCCGATAGCCATCGAGCAACGGTGGGGCTGACAGCCAGCCTGGTGCGGCCCACCACTACCCGGGGCACGTCCCTTAGTCAGTGATACTTCAGTCGGCAACTTGAGCTACATGGACTAGGGGACTGGGGGTACGCTTGACCTGGCAGGCAGCTGCCCTACCCCACACACGATGGAGTCGACTGGAGGTTGACCAGATGGCGCGGATGAGCAAGACAGCATTCAGCATTCATTACGACGACAAATGAATGCCACTGATGCGGCGGAGCGGCTGGTATTACCTGGACGCCGTCACTCGGGGCACTCCCCCTGACAAGCGCTACCTCAACCACAACTTGAGGTGCATTGATCACGAGGTTCTCGTACGCCTGCCCTAAGAGATAGACTCACCCCCTACCAGATCGAATGCGATGGCTTAGCACAGAGAAAAACGGAGATCATCCAGCAGATCCCCACGCAGAGCATCGACCTACACATCATGTGCTTCACCGCGGTCATCTGGCTCAAAAGATTGGCTCGCCCACACCCGCCAGACAAAATCACTTGCTCCGGCGCCACCGAGAATTCGAACTACGATGGAGCCGCTAGTGAATCTTCAATGTGAGAGAGAACTGACCGACGCAATCGCCCCGTTTGACGCTATAATCGACTACCAGGCTTTCAACATGCTGCCGAAGATCACGTCCGCGCGCCACGCACGCCGAAATCAAGATCACACAGGGATGAAATACCAATCCGCGCAGAACACGTGTAGCACAACTGGAGAAGCACACCAAAAAACATAGCGCCCAGTGCACCACCCGAGTTCCAGCAGCAGGACCAGCCACGAGTCCAGCATTAACGTCGACTTCGAGAAGGATGGAAGCCCCTGGCCCACGTAGCACCCGTGGTTGATCATGCTCAGCGGCTTTCTGCACCGCCTTCCCTGACGAGGAGCCCTGGTGGCCGTCCAACAGCCTGGCGCCCTCCGCCAAGCGCTGCTGCAGCCTCTCGCTGTCCTTCCCCGCCCAGGCCGCCAGGAGCAGCCGCGCCCGCTGGCGATCGCGGCGGCCGCGGTGGTGGTGGGCTGATTTGCGGGTGATTGCGCTAGTCTCAGCGCGAGAGCTCGCGCCAGCCTGGCTGGCGCACCCAGGGCTCTCGAGCCAAAACCAGGAAGACGAGGATGAGGAGGAGGAACAGGAGGAGGAGGAAGAGGAGGAGGAGGAGCAGGAGGAGCAGGAGGAGAGGGAGGAAGAGGAGGATGAGGAGGAGGAGCAGGAGGAGGAGGAATAGGAGGAGCAGGAGGAGGAGGACGAAGAGGAGGAGGAGGAAGAGGAAGAGGAAGAGGAGGAGGAGGAAGAGAAGGAGGAAGAGGAGGAGGAAGAGGAAGGTTCCCGAAGCTGCAACCATGCCACCAGGATCGTCCCTGCCTTCGCCCAAAGGAGCAGCAGCACGCCCTCACGCGGCCTCGCGTCGCACACCCTCATGCGCGGCCATTGCCGCTCCTCGTCCTCCCGCTCTCCCGCGCGCGCACGCGCTTTCCCACGGCGAATCCCTGCCGCGCCCAGGGGTGGAGACACACCCGTCCCCACCATACCATTAGGTCGGGCATGTCCTCCTATAGGCGGCTCCTGAACACAACTAGAACATTTTCTAGAGACATACTCAAAAATACTTCGGATATCGTCCCCGTATCATTTTTGGCTAATTTTGAATCTTCCTCCTGTGGAGGGACAAGCCCGACTGAACCATCTCACAAACGTCGTGACGTCTTCAGTCTGGGCGCCGTCTCGGCCTCTGGGGGGCCGTTCTCGGGAGCCGCGAGCGTGAAAAGGACGCTTCGGGATGAAGGATGAGGACTCCGTCGGGATGGAGAATGCCAGGCTGTGGATCGCGCCTGATGCGATGCGGCGCGATCCTCCAACACATCTACTACGGCCGGGCGGCTTGTGATCCGGAAGCGGGCTTACAAGGGACCCGAAACTTCCATCGGGCTCCGACTGACCAGGGTCAATGCAAACCCAGAGTCAGGCTTTGCAGGATCCTGCAGGATCCTGCAGGATCCTGCAAGATCCTGCGCGCAGACCTGGATCAGTGCAGCCCTGGCTCTGCAGGCTCTTGCAAGCTCCGGCGCTCTGGCCGACCCCCGTTTGCATAGACCGCCGTCTCAAGGCTCCCGATGACCAGAGGCAAGAGGTCTGCCGTGCCAGTACCATCGCACACTGTCTGCAGTAATCCAACCAGCCCAATGGGTGTTCCGAGAAGGTAGCCGCCCTGGAGGAATACGAGGAGGATTTAAGATCGCTCCCCATCTCATTCTCCCTCCTCCTACTGCCACTCATTATCATGCTCCCTCCTCATGCCCTCCTCTGCTATCACCACCTCCTCCTTTTCCTCCTGCTATCTACCTCAGCGACTCCTCGCCCTCCTCCACGTCATCCTAGCCCATAGTCCCCTCATCTTTCTTCTCCCAGCATGAAATCCAGCCCGAAGCCCCTTCCAGCAAAATCAACACAATCATCATATGTATGAATCCTCGCCCCCCTCCACTTACACATCCTCAAGTAGCCTCCAGCCCTCACCTCTCCAGCCTCCCTACCACCGCTCCCCAAATCCACCAGCAACTCAAACTGCCCCCGTCACACAATGCACGCAAGAAAGCTAGGCCTGCAATGCTGCGGGGTCCGTTGGAGGGAGCGGAAGTACCGTCCTGGCCCCGCGCCCCGTCTCAAAACATGCCTCCACTGAATATCTCAGGGATCCGTCCGCAATCATTCCGCCTCGTTTGTCGTTGCCGCAGGTCGTCGTCGCCTGTGGCGCCAACACTGTCATCATCAGCACCGCCGTCAACATCGACAGTGTCATCATCTTCAACCATCAAACTCGCCCACGAACCAACATCGTTATCAAAATGTCTTCGTGCTGGTTGGCACCCAACACTGAATCAGTACTCCACATACGTTATCTATATATATATATATATAATATGTGTGTGACCCATTGCGTCACCAGAACGCACCGCTCGTCCGGGATCAAACTCTGAATGCAGAGCGGTACGATGAGGAAATCATTGTGAGCGCAACGCACCATACATGTGTACCCGGGCTTCAATATTGCTATTCGTTCGTCCTGCTGCTCCTCCTCCTCGTCCTCTTCCTTGTCATCCCTCGTCCTCCTCACTCTGAGGGAAACTGCACCAATGGTTCATGCAACCATCCCGCTCACTGATGCCAACACTGTCCCTGCCTGCAAACTTAAGCATGCATTTCCAGCGCAACTGTAAAGGAAGAAATGGATGGGAATGGACATCACAACAGAGCGAGAGACGCGAGAGCCCTCAGCTTCCTTCTCAGAGCATGCAACTGGGATCAGGCAGAACAGACGAGATCAGCGAAGCGAAAAGCGAGGTGCGTGATCGCACACATTTGGATGGGAAACGAATGAAGTACGAGCGGCCCGCCAATCGAAATTCAGCAACGGTCAGAATCGAGCCGCAGTCCTGGGAAAGGCGGGGGGAGAGAGACGAGAACGAGGGGCACGGAATCGTACGGAATGCTGCTTGCGACGCATCTGGCGACTCAAGCAGGTGACGCTCCAGGGAGGGATTCTGCAGGGCAATCCGTCACGGCTGACTCGAAGGAGGCATCTTCGATGCTGACATGCTCCTCTTCATCCTCACGGCTCTCTGGTCGGCTGTTCCCCCCCTCCCTCCATAACTCAGCGTTGACCTGCGGGGCGGCCGAGCTCCATACAGTCTGGCACTGGCCGGTGGACTGCTCGTATTCGTAAAGCGTTCCGGTCGCCTGGTTCCTTCCCACCCACTTGAGCTAGGAACTTCCATCGACAGGATGCGGAAATGTAGAGCATGTATGGGACATGAGGATCAGAACGATCTGTGTGGTGTAGGGGGGAGGAGGGGAATCTGGCGGAGACAAGGATATCTGGAGAAAGGCCTTTCAACTTCAAAGAACACACGCCGGATGATTTGCCGCATGTCTCGGGAAAGCGATGAAAGTGTCCTGGTGCGGACCACAAATTCAACTGCCAACGCTGCGAGACAAAAACAACAAACCCACCAATACATCTGCGTATTTCTTGATGCGCATGAATAATTGCAGTCCTTCTGGCCGGTGCATCGCTTAGTCAACAATGATCATCGACTGACAGTTTCACGTAGCCCCCTGCACTTGCGAAATAGAAGGAGCGGGTATAAACAGGTTTCAGGCGGGTCGCGGGGCAGGTCGCGGGTGGGTGGCAGGGCGGGTCAACGGTGGGTTGCGGCTGGGTCGCGGGGTGTGCCGCGGGTGGGTCGCAACGCGAATCGCGAAGCGACGGCAAGAACAACGAGGATCCGCATCGCGGCTCACCCAACATAGGACAAATTAAGACCGCCCAGCTCCCTCATTCTGACCACAAGCAGCAGCACGCTATCGAACACTGCTTTCATTTAAGACTTTGAGCCAACACCGTAGAACATAGCGCGTGCACCATCCTGCAAAAAGTTCCCTTGGGCGATACCATCTATTTCTCCGCAAAGAATGTTAGCCAGCGTGGACCGCAAAACATGTGATCTTGCAATCGATGCGGCGCAATCGAGAAGGTCCAGCAATCAATGTGGTGCAATCTAGGGTGCGCAATTGATTTTTACACATGTTTGCAAACATCCCACCCACCCACCCACAACTTGGTTTGCAAAACCTCTTAAGACCGACTACGACGACACCGACGACAACGACTACGACGACACAGACGACGTCTCCGACGACTTCGACGACGACGACAACGACGACGACGAAGAAGGAAGGACGACGACGACGACGCCGACGCCAACGACGACGACGACGAAGACGACGACGACGACGTCGCCAACGAAGGCGACGACGAGGGGGGGAGGACGACGACGGCGACAACGACGACAACGACGACAACGACGAGGGAGGAGGGAGGACGGCGACGACGCGAACGACGAAGAAGGAGGAAGGACGGCGACGACGACGACGACAACGACGAGGGAGAAGGGAAGACGACGACGACGACAACGACGACGACGACGACGACGACGACGGCGACGAAATAGAAGGGACGACGACGAGACGCCGACGACAGACGACGACGACGACGAGGGAGGAGGAGGAAGGACAACCACGGCGGCAACGACGACGGAAACGACCACGACGCCAAAGAGGACGATGACGACAAACACGAGGAAAGACAGAGGACGACGTAGGCGACGACGACGGCGACGCGGGAGGAGGGACGACGGCGACGACGACGATGACGACGACGATGACGACGACGACGACGACGCAAGAGCGCGCGCGCGCACGCTTTTGTTGAAATTCCGTGTTGCGAAACCTTGTGTTTTGTAGGTTTTTCGGACACACGATTTTGAAACCCTTCCGAAACCTTTGGGTTTTGAAGGATTCCGGCATACGCGCGCGACGACGCGCGCGTCTGCACTTCGTCCCATTTTTCGCGGAGGATTCTCGCGACGGCACACGCGCAAGGCAGGGCGTTCGACAGATTTCGACATGCGCGCGCGAAGCCCGTTTGGTAGCGTGTGGTAAAAATTTGGAAAACATCTATAGTTTTCTTAAGATTTCGGAAGAGCTCGCGCGTAAGCTTTTTTAGCAAATCGGTGTTGCGAAACCCTGTGTTTTGCTATGTTTGTTGGAAACTCGATTGCGAAATCCTTCCGACACAGAAGGTTTCTGAAGGATTTCGGCATGCGCGCGCGACGACGCGCGCGTGTGCACTTCGTCCAATTTGTTGCAAGGGATTCGTGAAAAAGTGTTATGGCAGAGCAAAAAATGTCCCGGCGTATCGCTTTTTACAAGGGGACCTCAGAGGGGACCTCTGGGACATGTGATCATAATCATATATGATTTGCATATATACCCGAAAGGGGGAGGGATAACGCCGGGGGGGGGCATTGGGGCATTCTGTTTTTAGAGAAGAGACTGCATGCGAAGCAGTACATGCGTTGCAAAGAAATTCAAAACAACGCTACGCAACGCATTGCAAAGCAACGCACCGCAATGCAAAGACGGCATGCTAAGCTATGCACGACAACGCAGCGCAAATCAACACAACACAGTGCAAGACCATGCCACGCAGTGCCGATGCGAACGCAAACGGAATGCGATGCGATTGTAACGCCAGGCGATGGCGATGCCAATGCAGCGCGAGCGAAGGCCACTGCGGTTGCACTGCAGCGCAGTTGCACTGCAACGCAGAGCGATTGCAATGCAGTGCGCTTGCAGTACCACACGATTGCCACGCAGTGCACCCTGGCCATCGCTCGGACGTCCATTTCCTGTGCTTTTTGTCGGTTTCGTGCGTGGCTTTTTCGCGAAAGAAACAAATGCACACGTCCGAGCGATGCCAAGCACCTGCACTGCTGCCCTGCGCCTGCAGGTCAACCCGGCCAGACCGACCGACGGGGCCCCGACGGCGGGCGGCGACGGGCGGCCACACGAGCCGGCCGGAGCGGCAGACGGGCCCGAGCGACCGGCGGCGACGGAGCGCCCAACGGGCGGCCACAGGCTGGCCAGGCCGGCAAACAGGCACAGCTCCTCAGAACTACTCCAGATTTCGTAAGAAAGGGAGGGGGGTCTCATTTCGGGGGGGGGGGTCTCTTCCAGGCTATCTCGGAGGGCCTGGGGGGGTCTGGGGACGATGTTTTGGAGGGTTCTCCCACGGGGGGGGGTCTGAAATGGCTTGTCTTGGAGGGTCCAGACCCCCTCCCTTTTATTACGAAATCTGGAGTAAGCTGTTTGGGAACTGGAGCGCCGTGGCACGCAGACGTTCACAAGCTCAGAAAACACGTCGAGTCGACGCGGAAACAACGGCCACCGACCCAAGCGTTGTTACGCGCGCATGGTTTCGCTCACGGCGCACGGAATGTGTAGCATGGCGCTGGATGATAAGGCTTACGCTGCGCGCCACTGTCAAGCGAAAGAATAGATGTGCAAGATAGCCCGGAGCTCCGCAACCACTCCGAATAGGCATCCACCGACCTAGCCTGGCGGCGGCCCCCCCCAAGCCTCCAAGGTATGGTGGTTATATCAGCGGCGACGGATCATATGACTTGGTAATCCCCAAACGTGGTGGGACCCACCCACCCACCCACCCACCCACCGAAGGAGAGTACAACTTCCGGGGGGGGGGGCCACGCAGGGCCGCAGTCCCCGCGACTGAATGGCGCGGAAGCGCAACATCAATGACGACAACGACGATTGATGCCACCCCGGCCCTTTTTCATAGAAATGCTGCTGAAGGTTCGCTTTTGGGAGGGGTCCCGAAGGAGCACGTGCTACCTTCCCCCTCTACCCCTGCCTGAAAGCGTTGGGAATTGGGCGGGTGGGCTTTTCGAGACCGAGCGGGGATGCCTAGAGCCACAATGGTCATGGATCACGCGCGCGGTGCACTCTCTGTCACTCACACCCGCTCTGCCCCCCAAGCGCTCCGCCGCCTGCTCTGTTAACTACACACGCGTGTTCTGACCAACAAGTTGGCTCAGAGCGAGCAGCCCACCCACCCACCTAAGGACAGTACAACTTCCGGGGGGGGGGCCACGCAGGGCCGCAGTCCCCGCGACTGAATGGCGCGGAAGCGCAACATCAATGACGACAACGACGATTGATGCCCCCCGGCCCTTTTCATAGGAATGCTGCTGAAGGCTCGCTTATGGGAGGGGTCCCGAAGGAGCACGTGCTACCTTCCCCCCTGCCCATCTTGGGACACCTCCGAGCCGCTAGAGTAAGCGCGGCCTTTGGTCCCACAACGAACAGTCTGTTAGCAGGGCATTGCCAGGGTCGATCTCCCTGGTCAGGAAGAAGGAGCCTGCGACGATCACGGCCTGCGAATTCACGGGCCCGCCAGCGGCCAGCGGATCCCAACCCGAGAGCTTCAAGCTCGCCACTTTCGTGAGATCGAGGGCCGCGCTTTGCCTACCAGGGCCCATGCCCTTTCGAGCAAGTCGGTCCAGGGAAACCCAGACGCAATGTGTTCGTCTTTTCCGCCCTGCTCGCGTGATTCGCGGCAGAGCGATAGTTACCCTGCTTCAACAAAGACATGGCAGCCGAAATCATTATAGGACTCAGCGGAAGAGCTGGGACACACGTGCCTTCAGCATCGAGTGTCTCCGATTCAAACCAAACCTCGTGAAGGAGCACCCACGTGCGCCACAGTGACATTCGTGGAGCAATCGAGGTCATGGCGAATCCGTCAGTTTCGAGCTCTGAGAGCGCCCTCTGGCGAGATGCCGGCTCCGCGGCTGCCGCAAGGGCAACAGTCGCGGAGCCTCTCTTGCAGCCGCGGGAGACTTTTGCATCTCCGCGCCGCACCTGCACAGAAACTGGCAAAGCAACTACAGTGAGGGTCTTGACCTAAGCAACCCTAAATAAGGAACGAGGCCCCTTTTTTCCAGAAGTTAACCTTCGATTTCCTGTCGAAAACCAAAGGAACACCGAAGGCAAGCTGCGAAACACTGAAGGAACGCGGAGCCCCTCCCCAGCGAAAAGGGTTCCTTCTTCAGGGCCCCGATCCTACACCGACAGAGCGCGTGCAACCCGAAGACGGCAACGAGGCCACCGCTGCCGGCACTGCTGCTGGTGGAGGCTCTCTCTCACGCCGGCCGTCGAGCCGACAGTCGGGCCCGAGGCCGCGGCGGCAGGGCTGCCAGACTCAAGGGGCCCAAAGACACACAAATAAATACACACAAATAAAATGCTTCCCCATATGTTTCCATATTTTCTGGGTTTTTGTCTTCCCCCCCACTTCCCATATTTCCCCATATTTTCTAGGGCGACGATTAATTGTGTCTGTGTGTTTTTCCCTCCTGAACAGACGATGCCGATACCCGGCTGCGGCGCGCATGTAACGGCACCGGAGTGGAGGCCCAGCCAGCAGCCTCCAGGGCCGAAGCCAACTCGTCCACCTCCAGCCGCGAGCACAGCGCTGGAGGGCCAGCCCGGACCACAGGGCTGCCGCGCGGCAAGCTCGCTGATGGCCGCGGCTGGACAGGTACGTGCAGCGTGGGCCAAGATGCTATCGATAGTCGCAGGACCGCAGCGCCTGCCAGCGGAAGGCTGATGAGATGCAGGACCGCAGTACCCGCCAAGGGCACGGAGCCAAGATGGACAGATGCGAAGGAGGAGGGGAACAGACGCAGGACCGCGGTACCTGCAACAACACACGTCTCCCAATCCTCGCACGCCCGGCGGAAACCGTGACAGCAGCACGAAGCTAACGCAAAGGAGGGGGGAGACGACGCAGAAACGCGGTACCTGCACAAGAGGCCTCCCAACTCCCTCGTGGTTCCGAAAATTATGTTCTGGAAGCGTATCCAGGAACATAATTCCTGCCGAGCGGCAGGACCGCAGTACCCGCCAAGGGCACGGAGCCAAGATGGACAGATGCGAAGGAGGAGGGGAACAGACGCAGGACCGCGGTACCTGCAACAACACACGTCTCCCAATCCTCGCACGCCCGGCGGAAACCGTGACAGCAGCACGAAGCTAACGCAAAGGAGGGGGGAGACGACGCAGAAACGCGGTACCTGCACAAGAGGCCTCCCAACTCCCTCGTGGTTCCGAAAATTATGTTCTGGAAGCGTATCCAGGAACATAATTCCTGGGCGCGCCGCGCGGAATCGTAACGACAGCAAGGTTGGATCAATTCAGGCATGCATCAAGAAAGACGAAATGTCCACACCGCCGCGCGCATGACCAGAACGATGCGGTGCATGCAGGAGGGAGGAGGGTCACGCGCAGGACCGCGGTACCTGCAAAGCGCACATACGCATTTCCGAGGAGCCCCCAAGTCCCCACGTCCCCAGCATGCAAACGCGACCATGGGGGCCAATGACTGAGGAGGGCACGGGGAGGAAGGAAGGGCAAGAAGTGAGACAGAGAGAGAAGCACGACGAGAAACAAGATCGGCCGTCTGCTTCTCTCACTCGGTCAGTGCGGTATCTGCTCTCAAGGGCGCCGCGGCAGACTACACGGTCCCCATCACAGGCAATTCGAACAAATTGCTTTAAAACTTTTTTTTTTTTTTTTTTTTTTTTTTTTTTTTTTTTTTTTTTTTTTTTTTTTTAACAAAAAAAAAAAAAAAAAAAAAAAAAAAAAAAAAAAAAAAAAAAAAAACTGTGCAAATCCGAAGAGACGGAACGTTTGCACAACAACGTGGCAACCTAAACGGTCGCTGTCGGCCTTGGCAGTAACATAGTCACATGTGTCTTGAAACCACTGCAAAAAACATTACAAACAACTGTTACTGCCTGGCTGAGGTGTGATACCAGGATGTTGTGCGAACCCGGAGTGGTGTTTCAACCACGCCGTCGAGGAAAATCGGCACGCGCCACGAGGATCCTGGTTGATACTTCCTGCTCACTCTGTCGGCCAACGTGTTGGCGACCCCCGGAACGTGCGAGAGTTCCTCGGGGAGGAAAGCAGCATCCCCCAAGTCGAGCGCAAGCTCCTTGGCGAGATGATTCAATGCTGGGCTCGGCGCCCGGGGTTTCGACAGCATTGCGAGGGCAGCGACATTGTCGCTCTCGACAGCGAAGCTCAGCGTTTTTTTCCAAACACGCATGCCTGAGAGTATTGCCAAGCCCTATAATATCTGCTGCGGCTCGGCCGAACCGACGACGATGCCCAGCAGCTGGGCGTCTTCTTCGGAGACAGGGGGCCGCGAAATAGACGACAAAGGCTTCATCTAACATGAGCCACCCGCCCAGGCCCCACGGAGAAGCGTCGAAACCCATGCGCACGGTTGGCCCGCGGCGAGTGTATGCCTCAACCAAACAACGGCGAACAATGGATCCCCTCTCCTGCCGAAGGAACAAGAGGAACCACTCAAGTTGCGCCCGCACATGCTGCGCCCACACGCAACCGGGAGGCGCGCGCGATGAAGAATCGGCGCTGGACGCGAGCATTGCGTTTCACAGGTCACGGAGGAAAGGCCCCCATACCAAAAGAGACATTGCTACGCTTTCGGCCTTCCCAACAAATTCACGGAGGTACTTGAGCGATGCGACGTTGGACGTGAGAAAACCATTCAGGAGGCCAGCGAGGCCAGCTACTTTTTCGCTTGCGATCTCAACAGCCACCCCGGCTGGGTCAAGGGGCAGCTTTACGCCAATCCAAACGATCGCCGCGCCAAGCCTCCCCTTCCTGAGAGCAACGCCGAAATCTAGCAGCCTCTAAGCAAGCACGGTTGCGCACAGCATCGAACGACGCTTCACTGGAGATCCTGCCGCGATCAGGACGGGGTCGTCGACGCACGTCTGCAAGCGGAGAGCGGCCCTGAAATCCCCGAAAGACTTCGGGGAAGAAGGGTCCGCGAACAAGGCTTGCGACAGCCTTGCCAGCAGCGCCGCCACCGACGCCCACGCGCAGGGGCCGTTTCGGCCCCCTTGCGCCGCCCGGCAGTACCAATAGTACATGCCGCGAACTTTGGCGGCGAAAAAACGGCGCTCCCCGACAGGCAGCGGCGCGTTCCAGAAAGCGTCGTTGAAGTCAACGACAAGCCATTCGACGCCGAACTGGGTTTTCCCCCTCGCGGCGGGAAAGCAGCTCCAAAGCGTCCTGGACAGCCTCCATGATGCCAGGCAGAGGCACCCCGTGAGTCTTTGCCGTGGCGGCGGCGACGCTGGAAGCCTTCAGGTTGATGACCAAACGCCACTAAGTCCCCCCCTCCATGACGTTGGTGAGGGGGACAAACTTGGACGACGCAGGGGCGCCGCCGAGTTTTTCGCAGCACTCCTCAAAGGTTGCCGCGGACGCCAGCCACCAACGAGAAGAATAAGATTTGATCTCCCCAACGGCTGCCTCGCCCGGGTGCGCGGATTCACCGCCTGAGGCGTCGCCGACAGCATCGAAGACCAAATTGCCAATCGGACGAGGCAGCACGTTGTCCGAGGCAAGGGGGAACACGCCGTCTTCTGGCGGCGACTTCACGATGCCAGCCGGGGCCCCCGTGAAGAACCACTCTGCGACGCCTGCGCCTGGGGCGCCCGCGCGAGCAGCCCGTGCCCTGAGCAAGTCTGCTCGGACATCGCTCGGGCACGCCTCTGTCTGGGCACGGCCACGCGATGACGCGCCCAGGAGCGCGGCGAAGGCGGGGCGATGGACGTTCAGCTCTGCCTCCGCGGGCCCGGCGCCGTCGCCCGCTCTGGCGCGGGCAGCCCAAAACTTATTGTGGACGGAAGAATACTTTATCAGCGCGTCGACCAGGAATGCCCGCACTTCGGCCGACACCTGTTCGAAGCCCGGGGCTTTGCACAGGGGGCGCAATGGCCCGCGCATGCCGCCGACCGCCTTGGCTTCCTGCGCCGAGCGAGCGGCCCTGGCGTCGGGCTCGCGCCGGCGAAGAGGCAGCGCGATGGACAACTGGGCATCGGACAGATCTACCCTGCCGACTTCGCCATTCGCTGGCCTGGCCAACTTGTTGCAGAAGCGGCCCGATCGCACCAGCGCGGCCTCAGCCTCCGGCGCCGCCAACCTGTTCCTCACGGCGGCTTCCGGGAGCCGCCCCGCGAGGGAGGAGCACGCCGCTGCTGGCCCTGCGGCAGCGCCGGCGAGATCAGCGCACCAACGCGCGATCTCGACCGGCCGCGCAGCGACGGCGCCGACGGCGCTCCAGACGCGAGGCGAGGCAACGACGCCCAGCGAGTCCATAATCGCCTGCCACTCAGGGAGCTCGAGGACTGATGGGCGACCAGGACAACGGGCGTCTGTCAATGCCACCCCAGGGAGGCCTAGCTCCAGGAACCTCTGCGCCACGGCAGCCGCCCAGAGGGCCAACGCTGTCTCGCCGCGGACACGCTCGGCCACCTCTGGCGAGAGACGGCGGAAGCCGTAGATGTCTGGAGGCGCCTCGCCGCGGAAAGCAGGGCCGCCGTCGCGACAACCGTCGAAAGTTGCAGACGGGGGGGCCAGCGCACAACCGTGGAACTCGAGCGCGCCAATCCTGGCGTCCAACTCGCGCCGCGCGTTCTGCGCCAGGAGCGAGCTCGTCTCGCCGCCGCCGGCGTCGTAGACCGCCGTCTGCGCACCCAGCTTGCGGAGGCGCACGGCTATGCCAGGAAGTCCCCAACGCGTTTCCGTCTCGGCGAGAACGACAAGGAGGCTGATCTTCTGGCGGCCCCCGCCGGCCGACGGATCTACCGGCGCTGGCGCTGCAAGGGCCCTCGCCTCCTGGCTGAGCAGCGACGCTTGTCCTGAGTCATCAACCGCGGCCGGCGCTGTTGACAGCGCGCCCGATGGAATCACGCATCCAGGACACGCGTCCGCCCCTGCCCGGGGGCCGCACCCGAGCCTTCGCTGCCGGGCTCAGCGCCGCGGGGGCGCCGACCGCTCACTGGCGGTTGCCGCCCTTCCCCTTCGATGCTCCCTTGGTCAACTTGGGGGCGGCGGCGGCGACTTGGCGCGCGGCTGAGGGTGGGCCGACCTGCGGCCGGCGCCCAGGGCAACGCGGCTTCTTGGGCGGAGGAGGTGGCGCACCAGCGCTGCTGGGAGGCCCTCGCTTCGGGGCCGGCTCCTGGGCAGGGCCGCGAGCGCCAGCCGACAAGTGACCGACGCCCGTGGCTGCTCTGGCATCGGTGCCTAGCATGATTGCCAGTGACGCTGTCTTGGCCAGAACAAGCAGCGCTGGGTCTTCGAACTCATGCCCCCAGAAATCCGCATCGTCAGCAATCAATCTACCAGACTAGGTTCCACGGCCGATCGGGGTCGCACGGGTGGTCCTTGCCACGCTGCTTGGCTTTTTCGTAGTCGTCCCTCACCTGCCTGTGGAGCCTTTCCATGAGCTCGAGGCGGCATCGGCAATCTGCCTGCTAGGCGATGTGCCACGCCTCTGGGCCCCGCTGCTGGCAACGACGAAAGAAGTTAGTGCGGTAATTCAGAAGAGTACCGAGATCGACCGCCCCGAACTGAATGAGGCCCGAGCGGAGAAGTTTACACGACCAGTCCCATGATTCAAAAAGGATTCTGGGCCGAACAGCTCCACCATGGACCGCGTGCCGTCTGGGTTGCAAGTCTTGCCCACGAGGTTCACATGCTTGAGGATACGGTTGCCCTGTGGCCCCCACACAGCGAAATCTGCGTAGGGGATCCGTCCGCTCCGCAAGACAGAATCCAAAGCCGCCAGCTGCTCCTGCGTGAGCTCTTCCAGCGGCGGGGGCTTGACCTTATAGGCGATCTTGTAGTCCGCGGTGCACGCCAAGACCCGGGCGCTGTCCAGCAGGGGCTTTGCGCTCTCCAGCCGGGGGTCAATCACCTCCTTGAGGACTGCCTTAGTCGAGCCAGCTCCCCGCTCCTCCGTGATGTTCTTGGCGTGCGCCTCAAGAGTAGGGAGAAGCGCCGCTATGCTGTCGCAGGCGCGATTGATCGCCTTCACGTTGTCGTCGGCCTGCGACTGGGCCTCAGCCTGAGGCTGCTGCACGCCCGCGGCGATCCTGCAGGCGGCGCCGAAAGCGGCCGCCGCCGCCCGCACTGCTGGCGTGGCAGGGACACTCCCCTCGCCACTGCTGATAAACCAATTTTTCACCAGATCGTCGAAAGCGGCCTGGGCGATACGAACAACGCGGACGACTGGGTGATCCGCAGATGCGCCCAAAAGATCGAACAATCCCCCGCGGCATCTTCGCGTTGTCGTCGTCACCGTCGAGGCCCGCCCATTCTGCGACGTCCCGGAGCACCTTGAGGCCGGCAAGCTCCTGCGGGCTAGGCTCCATGACAAGTGAGTCGGCTTCGGTTCACGATCAAACTAAGCCGTGCGTACCCTCCCCTTAACTCACGCCCCTTTTCGAGACCGAGCGGGGATGCCTAGAGCCACAATGGTCAGGGATCCCGCGCGAGGTGCACTCTCTGTCACTCACACCCGCCCTGCCCCCCAAGCGCTCTGCCGCCTGCTTTGTTAACTACACACGCGCGTTCTGACCGACAACACCCGGCGGTGCGTCTCGGGCGACATGGTGTCACCACCCCAGGATGTTCCGAACGTTGGTGGGTCCGGAAATCACAAAACCTGGCGGTGATCCAGTTTTCCAACACCCGGTAGTGACGTTTTGGGGATTCCAGGTCACCACCTGATGTCTCACCACCTGGTTTGGGGCTCCCCATATGACACTCACGCCAGGTACGTCATACACCAGAAATTGACACGATCAGACTCGGTCGGGGTTCCCGTTGACCTGGTTCGCTCTGTCTGTCTGGTTCTTTCTCTCTCTCGCTCTCTCTCTTGTGTTTCTCTCTCCCTCTTTCTCTCTCTCTCTCTCTCTCTCTTTCAATGTTGCCATCGTACTCAGCTGCCCTGGCCCTTGCTCTTCGACGAGGCCGCTCTACTGGAAACGAGTGGAACTACAGACGGCCCGACGGCAGTCGCGAGGCACAACATGCGAAACGCGGGCTCGCCCAGCGCCAACGCTCCAGGCGAGGCGAGGCTAGGCGGAAGGGCCGCGAGAGCGCAGCAGTGGAAGAGGCAGAAAGACGCCCAAGTAGTCAAGCCTGGAGCCATGCACGCCAACGCGGTGTGTCTGTGCCTGCGAGTACAGTCGGCCCGTATCGCAAGGGTGCGCAAGAATGATGCAAGGGCCTTAGAAGCCCATTTCGAAGCTTTCTGAGCGGGGGGCGGCCAACGGAAGTGGCCAAGGATGAAGGATGGACCGAGGAGGCAAGGATGCAAGGATACCCTTGGGAAGGATGATCATCCTTACTATGCGAGTTGACTGCACTCAACTGTGAACTTTCTTATTTGTCGTAGTTATGTGCTGGGCATCTGACTGTGGAGCTGATGGACGGTTCAGGAATGTGCGCCCTTCCCCGCCAAATGTACAAATAACCGCTCTCGCTGTGGAGGTAGAAACCGCGCATGGACGCCCCATCGATCTTCCACCGGTCCTGCCGCATGGGGGAGATACTCGGGCAGGGGAGAGAAAGAAGCAGAGGAGAGGGGTGGGAGGGCGGCAGCTGGCGCCTGGCCGACAACCCGGATTGCTCAACCACGGGCCTCGCATGGACAGCCTCCTGGTCCACCTTGGGGACACCTCGTGCTGACCTGCTCGTCCTCGTGACCACTGCCACTACGAAGCGTGACTGCTGCTGCCCCTGCAGAAATCCACTGCTACTTCTGAGCCTTCCTCTTCTGGGGGACTCGATCCACACATCCTGCGTAGGATAGCACATGTCGAACAAAACTGTGTTATATCTATATATATACATATATATATATATATATGTGTGAAAGGTGTATTTGTTCAAAGCGTCTATAACACCCCACGGCTACAATCACGTGTCGCCGCAAATCGGCTGTGCAAAGGGGATGAAGCCGAGGCAATGCATCCTTCCTGTGAGAGAATACTTGCACATTATTTCTTTATGTGAGCGAGGTTGTTCTAATGGAATGTGTATGCGTGGGCGTGCTATATATAGATTGTTGCTCTTGAGGAAGGCTTTACGAGACGATTCCTTGCTTCTCCCCCTCTCCAACCATTATCCTTCAGTCTCTCTCTCCCTGTCTCTCTCTCTCTCTCTCTCCCGCTCTCCCTCTCTATCCTTCTCTCTCTCTCTCTCTCGCTCGCTTCGCCTCAAAAAGATGAAGGAACTGCGGGTCCCTGCAGTCGCGAAAGGCCCCGAACATCGCCCTGAGCTCGTGAGGCCTCCCCATTCCTGCCTTCAGATCGGGGCGTCGAGAACAACACAACGGCGGGTGGTTTCGCACCGATCCAGTGTCTGTGATCCTCACGGACTGGTCCAGCGCTCGTTCGCGAATTCTGCACCTCGGTTTGAACAGAATCAAGTCAGAGCATTCTCGCCATGTTCGGTTTGCGGGGCCGTTCTTGGGCGCTGGTGCCATGAACAAACTACCCATGATAAAAAAGGACTGGACCGAGAAGTCTGCGGCTCGCAGATCGCATGAAATCACTAAGTCGGAGGTCTGGGAAGTGAGGGACTCCAAGAGAGCTCATTCTAATATGCACCGCCTCGGTTTAGTAGCCTTCTGTTGCCGTTACCGGCCTTGAGCTTTTATGTTTAGCGGCCTTTATTAGCCTTCGGCGGCCTTTGGTAGCCTCTGCAAGACTGCAAGACGTGCATCATTTGTGAAAAAATGCCAAAAGACTCATTTAGAAGAGGGGTCAGGAGAGAGTACAACGAACATGACGTGAGCCCCCACCTCCAGCGGATCTGCTTCCTCAACCCGCGCCCCCATGACGAACTGTCGATCGATTGGCCGGAGGCCGATGCTTCATCGCGGGTCGCATGTCTAATTATCACCCGGGCCACGAAGAGGCGCCCAAAACCCCGGCGTTCGGGAAGCACGCCAGGATGGAGTCAGCGGTGGACAAACCTCCCTTAGTAAACCTCCCTTCAGTGAAAACGGCCTGGGACCGAAACCGACGGACCTGGACCCGCAGAAATGACGGCCAGGACGCCCTCTCGCGAACCGAAAACGGCCAATTCCTTGATCGACGCGTCAGGGTAGGAGGTCGATCCACCTCCGAAAGAGGAGGCGCCCAAAACCCCGGCGTTCGGGAAGCACGCTGGGGCCGAGGGGAGCACCCCGCGGGAGTCCCCGGGCGCCGCGCCCCCCACAGCCCTCGGGGAGACCCGGGTCAATCAGGCCTTGCAAAATCCTGCAAGATCCTATAAGATCCTGCACCCAGACCCGGGTCAATGCGAATGATCCTGCAAGATCCTGCAGGATCCTGCGCCCAATGCGACCCTGGCACTGCAGGATCCTGCAAGATCCGGCGCTCTGGCTGACCCCCGTTTGCATTGACCCCCGTCCCAAGGCTCCCGAAGCCCACGGGGGGCCCAGGACGCCGGCGGGGACCCCGACGCCGCGAGAGGGCGCGAGCCCCTCACCGGCGGGGACCCGGAGCTGCCTGCCCCGAGCGAGGAGCGGCGGAGGCACCGAGGGTGCGGAGCTGTGTCGCGGGGAGGGCGGGAGGGGCGCGAGAGAGAACTCGGGGGGGGGAAGCCAGGTGCGCTGGGAAGCCAGGCACCGAGGGTTCAGAGCTGTACCGCTGGGAGGCGGGAGAGAACTGGGGGGGGGGGAAGCCAGGAGCGCTCGCGCCTCGTCGGACAGGCCAAATTTCCCTCCCATCTCCCTTCCTACGGCGCTGACGTGTCATTATTCGCGGACGCGTGTCATAGCCGGCCTGCGACTCCCACAGGAAGACCACTTCGTGTTATGAGCAAGCGGGAAAGTGGCAGTTGCGTGCATAGGAAGAGGAGGAGGAGGTGACGGGTGAAGCGGGAGGAAAAGGATGAGGACGAACAGCAGCAGCAGGAACTACAGCGGAAGGATAGGGAAGAGAATGTGGACCAGATGAAGGCGGAGGAGGGGACATGAGAGGGCGACAAAGATGAAAACAGACTCGGATTCAAGAAAGTGGCCCGCACTTGGGGGAGACGAAAAGCAGCAGCAGGAGCTGGAGTGGAAAAAGCGGAACAGGAGGACCAGGAGAAGGCGGGGGAAGGGGAAATGAGGTGGGGAACACATTGAATCAAAACTCGGATCCAGAAAAGTGGCCCGCGCTGGGGCGAGAGCGCCATCCTGAACGACGGGAGCAAAGCACCGATCCGATAATGAGGCCCACGCTCCAGCGGAAGCACAGTTTTGAAACACCGGCAACAATCGGACTGCACAACAACCATGAGACAAAACAAAGCTTGAAATTCGATCGTGACGAAACAGCACGCGGAGTTGGCGGGGAATCTTCCGGACACCTTGAGGGGAGGAGGGAGAGTAGTATTCATAGTATTTTCATGTGGAAGCGACCAGGGTTGAGGGATGAAAAAACAACCCTACCCTGGACTACAATGCGTGGTCTGTAAACCTCCTGGGAACCCCCAAAGCCTAGAGCCGCCAGGACGCGGCACATCACGCAGGGTTTACCCTGTCAGCCCACAGGAGGTTCAGAGCACAGCGATTCGTAAACCAGGGTAGGGGCGTTTTTTCTGCCCTTGACAGGGGGGGCCCAGGCGGGGTACCCAGAAGTCTCGACCCCTTCGTGGGGTCCATTCTTCACTCTGGACTTTCTGCGTTCACGGCCCACTAGCCATGGAGCAGCCCTCGGAGGCCGAACAGGTTTCAACACGTGCACATCTGGGGGGGGGAAGGGGGGAGGGGGGGGTGGAAGAAGGGAGCGAAGGGGGGAAAGCATGGCAGCACCACTATTCGCCCACCCATCTTTCGACCCAGCCTCCTGCTCAGGCTCCTCCAGTCTCCCAATGTCATTATGTCCATATTTGCTCCCCTCATCTTCTCCTATCTTCCTCCCCCCCCCTCGTGCGCCTCTCCCGAGATTGCTTTTTTACTATCTCCGGGAACGGTCGTTACCCTGGAGGGGGAAAGTGGATTGGGACCCCAGGCAACAGCAACGCGTGGGCGGGATGGGGCACGTCGGGGCGCGGGGTGCGCTGCGAGCGCCACAGCATGGCCCAGGCAACGGCCGTTACGCGCCGGATGATAAAAGACAACCTCCCCTCCCTGCCTCTGCCCTCCTCCTGCCACGTCCTCATCCGCACTCCTCGCTCCCGAAACCCAGCTCCAACCACCGCTTATCCTTAGGTCGGGCCTGTCTCCCTACAGGGGGATCTTGGACGATGCGTACAAATACCTCCAAAATTCTCCGGCCCAACGGGCCAGAGGCGTGCTAAGATCTCCGGTAACTGGTTAACAATATTTCGAGTTAGCGCGCGCGGAGCGGCCCCTGGGGGCCCCCGGACGAAAAGTACCCCTGCCAGGTCCCGGTCAGGTCCCCCCAGAGCACTCCATGGGAGGGCCATTTTTCGACACCCCTCACGAGGATCGTGGCCTCCGAGGGGAGAG